CTTGAAATATGTTAAATATTCATTTGCACAATACATTTTTATATACACATTTTTATATACAAGACATTTTTATAAAACACCCAGTAACCAAAATAGACATCACTGGGCGGCAGCCTCAGGTTTACCACACAGAAAGGGAATTCTAGTTACCTCATCCTTTCCCAAGGTTACATCACTGCGGCGGTAGCCCCAGTTAGGTCACACAGAAAGGAGAATTCTACATAATAAGGGTTATAATCCCTAAGCGCGGCCGAAGGCCGCCTACGCAGAAAGGAATTCTACGCAAAAATACTGTGGACGCAAGTAAAAATTGCGATTTTTGGCCATTTTTCTAAGGGGTCCCTAGGGAACCCACGGGTGCCACGCCCACTCCCCCTTCGCCCACTGCACCTTTAACGAACGGCCATAATGGAAAGTTTCCCCCATAACAATGAAAATATAACGGCAATATTTCTTGTTTATAATGGATTAGATCCATCGCACACCACGGACTTTATCGGCCGCCGATTTAGATGGGCTCGCTAGTCTTTCCATTGCACCACAACTTATTGGTCGGAGCGATTAAGCTGGTGTAGTGTGCGCACCTCCATACATCTTCATGTACATATTTCAAGCGAGCCCTATTATTTAAATAGGCGGCCAATAAACTCTATGGTATGCGGTGGCTCTTATAGCTGCATCCTTACACTTATTCCGTGTGTTGCAATATCCACGATAGCAGCAGTTAACTTTTTATGAAGAAAAATATTTAAAAATATTCGAAAATTATTATTTATTTTTCCAACGTTAAAAGGTGGATTTTTTTTTGAAAAATTTGGTACAACAAAAATACGAAACACGTTTTCTGTCAGATAGCTAACATGGCGGATAAGAAGAAGTGAAACTACCTTCTAAAAATTATTGTATCATGGTCTACGGTTACCCACATATATAACTTTTCTGTTTTTGTAAAAAAAGAACCCTGTGTTAATTTTACCGCGCCATTGTATTGGATTCCCGAAAGATTGTGAATGCAGCGAGTTCTTCGGACTTGAATATACACGGCCGAGGCGATTAATACAAGGTGGTAGCAATAGTACACAAACAAAGCTTACATCTCATTTGCTTTTGCTTTAACGGGTGAGCTGTCAAAGTTTACATGTATTTTGTTGTTGCTTTTGATGGCTTTCCTGCCAAAACATTAAAAGCAAACGCAAAATACATTAAGGCGAAGAAATCAGCTGGTTTAACAACACCACCTTGTATAAGTGAGCCTTGTACACGGCTGACCAGTGAAGTATAGCATGAACTTGGCATGAACCCAAAATACGACGTTGTATTTGTAAAGGCCCGTTTACATACAACTTTGGCGTTGCGTTGGCGTTGGCGTCGCTTC